GGACGAGAGTCCCTCAACAGACCCTCGAACTCCCCCACCAGCGCCCGCCCAGTCCCGTAGGAGTCTGCCTGGCGGTGTAGACTTGAAGTTGGCATTTGATCCATCACCCCGACCCAAGGAGCCGCTGCCTCAGCCCAGCTACGCACTCAATACCACCTTCATTGCTCTCAACAAACTTAACACTGGGTAACCGACCCCAATCGATTAGGTCTGCTGCCGCCGCCGCCGAAGATATCAAATTGCAGGCTCAACCGTGACCAGTATTTAGCGGCCGTCTCGGAGAATCCCCCAAGTGTCGCCATGTACGATAACACGGCCTTTGGGGACACTCCGACAATCATCAGTAATGACACTCTCGTGTCCAACGTAGAGGACGATAGTGACGAGGTAGTAGTGGGCTTTGGCCACAAGGGAAGAAGATTCGTATGCTCTCAGATTGCTGAGGACCTAGCCTGGCTTCGGACAATCCATGAGGATCTTCGTACCAGTGAGGTTCTATGTAGTTGTATCGTCTATCAGGAATTCTTCAGAATACGAAGAAGGTCTCGGTGAGGGTGGAGCTCAACTCGAACGACCGTCCACCGATGTGGATATTCTCAAGGCCACTGCCCGTCTGCTCCTCACCGACTGTCCAACGTCAATTCTCTCATCTCCCTCACCCTATGCTGCCATCGTCAGGTTCCTCGGCAAAGGTAAGCACCTCTTTGCATACACTCTCGAGTCATTACGTTTCAGTGCCACAAGGCGTTACCTTTCCTGGGGCGCCATCTGATGAGGTTTCACCGGATGATATTACTAATTCGCCACGGTCATAATCATTCCACTTACTCTGTCGTTGCTGCGTTTAATAGTATGTCAACAACGCAATCAACAACGGGAAAGGAGGAAACACGAATAACATTATGTCGTTACAAATGTCATCGGCGAACACCACTACCGATAAAACTGAATGCTGATGATTTACCCGACTGCTGACCAACACTCGTAAAATTCGAACATTTCCCATCCATACACGACCCGCCAGCAGCCTGAGCCGCGGCCTTGGCGGCCGCCTCAGTGAATATATCGTCAAGCTGGTGACCACCCATAGTGTAGCCACCGGCCGAGTGGGTCTGTTGGGCGCCGTTGGTTTGTATGCTACCCACAGCTAAGTCGGGCAGGAGTGAAGACGCTTGCTGGACGGGAAGAATCCCAGATGCCGACTGCTCTCCGAGAAGATTATCACCGACTGTTTGGTAGCCTGGGGGGAGCTGTCTGTTCTTGTCTCCTGCGGCTATCGATCCACCCAGGTTCAATCCCGACAGATCGACCTCCTTTGCATTCGAATTAACAGGGGCGTCGAGGAAATCAGCTTCTCCAAGTAGAAGCAAATCATCGCCACCAGCATTGTCCACCACCGCCGCTTCGACCGACTCCTCCGAAAGGCTATCCCCACCGCCAAGGTCAAGCAGGTCCGGCATCGACTGCTTGGGAGCAGCCACTGGACGATGACCATTGGCCCCATGCAGGGCTCGGGACACTCGGGCTGCTGTAGCACGGCAGATTTGAGGTAGAGCTTGGGGATCAGAAACACAATCAGTACAGACATCCCGTACCTAGGGATAATTTCGTGGCGCAGTGACGATGTTCATCCGCACTATTACCTCCTCTCTATCAGCAAGGCCTTCCACAGCCCTCAGAGCTCGCAGCCGGGCTTGTGGGTGGCCCTTAGTGATCCGATCACCCAACTCGAATGCTATCTCTGTTATATCGTATTCAGATGATTCCCCTTGGACCCTCTTTAGGAAGACCTAAAAGCACACAAACCATAAGGACCTCAAGGTAGGCACGACCTTACCCCGACAGCGACCGAACCACTGGTCAGTTGGCTGACAAGTCGGTACTCAGGTGTCCGATGGTGTTGCTCACTAGGAGCCGCTACGGTCATCTGCACCCTCTCGCTAGCCTAAGTGGAGCATCCCACCACCCTTAGGGAAGACCTCCCCCACCTTATCAACTGCTGGAGGAGGTACCCACATGCCCCTATCCGAATAATGGTTATACTCCTGACCCCCCGGGTAGCCGTACCCTGGAGTCTGCCTATCAAAATACCAATTATCTAATGTGTGCATACTCCCCCACCTCACCCATATCCTGCATACTGCGCAGAGGCCCCAGGAGTACCCCCGTGCCACCTCTGGTACGCTGATGATAAAACACTGGCAGCACTGGCAGCCGCCTGGCCGACCTTGCTAGCGATGGTG